TTGGTTTTAATGGATGTAACTATTTTTTCTTATAGATATAATAAAATATATTCTTCTTTATTCGGTCATTTTTTTTGAAATGACTGTGTTCGATTTTGTTTTATGTTTGTTCGTTGTTGGAATGAAGGGGAAAAAAACTGCTTTTGGTTTTAATGGGTATAATTGTTTTTAATGGGTGTAACTATTTTTTTTGTGTAGACATAATAAGTATATTTTTTCTTTTATTTGGTCATTTTTTGTGAAAAATTTCTATGTTCGATTTTGTTTTGTGTTTGCTCGATGTTGGAATGAAGGGGAAAAAATTGATTTTGTTTTAATGGGTGTAACTGTATCAATACAGTTTCAACTTAATTTTTGAATATTAACGGTTTGAAATTTGTGATCAAATAGTTACTTAAAACAGTTATGTAACTATTTTTAATCAAAAAAATCAAACAACACAAATTGTGAAAAAAAAAATTAATGAATGACAAAAAAACAAAAATGAATGTCACCTGCAATTTTCAATGAAGAAGTTGTCAAAATGATTCACAATTACTTGACTATAAGACACGATGAACAGTAAGTCGTATTCTTCTTTTTTAGGACGATGAACATTAACTCGAATTCCTTCTTCTTTTTTTATGATGAACAGAACTCATATACTTTTTTTTTTGGACGATGAACAGTTATTCAGGTTCCTCTTTTTTTTGGACAATGAATAGTCACAATTCTGACATTCCAATCCCTTTGCCGAAGAAGATGGATTTTGATAATTAAACTCCCTATTTTACCTCTCACTTGATTTTAGCTAAAAAAAACGGATGAAAGATAATAACTTTTCATATATTTACTGTTTATAGATGACAATAGTGATATTTTAAAAAAATATGTATTTTACCCAAAATAAGTTTTTGAGTTGTACTTTTTGTTAAATAAGTCTAAAAAATTGTACCGACTTCTAAATTGACCTTCTTTAATGCCATCAACAAACAGGGCATCAGTGGGTGGGGCTTTGGTCCACCTGTCATGGCACATTGTACGTTTTATGGGCCCCTCAGTTCCCACCAAAGTATAAAGGCCAACCACCGGATATTTCTGGACCAATTGGCCCATTTGATGAACTGCTTTTAGTTTTGGAGTCCACCTTTTGTCTAGTGGATATGGGACCATGAGATTGCATAATAAACCCAATATTCATGTGGGCCACATAACTCCACCACAGACGGTTACAGTTCATTGGTGGCCCATCTACTTTCCATATGACCATTTTAAAAGTCTGTATCGTTGTGGCACTGGTGGGGGTCCGTGGGGTCATTGCAATGCTACTTGTTAGTCTTTTTTTTGGCAATGGTCCCTTAAGTTGTGGGACCCCTGTGCCATATAAAATCGTACGCAAAGTTTCAACCCAATTGGATGAGAATATTGCACGGAAAGTGATTGATTTGAGTTATTAGTGATAATGATAAATTAAAAATAATATAAAAATTTTGTATGGATTACAATCTCATTAAACAAAAAATATATATACTAATATCAGAATAATACGTAATTCAAATTAGAAGATATCTCAGCTCATGTAAAGTTGGTCGATATTAACTAACTAAGCTGACTGTGTAACTCTAAAAGACGATAAATATCATTAAAGATATCAAAAGATGAAAAAGAGAACTTTTGTCATGAAACGTTACGGCCACCAAATCATCGTCTCTCAAGAATCATGTTATTGCTTTTAGAAAGCCATATCACACTTGTAAATAAAAACATCTAATGGCCAAATATAGCCTATACGCTAACTCAAGGGACGATCACCATTCCTTAGAAAACCAAGAGAATACATAATACATGTATTGTACCCATCTTCTTCTTCAAGAAATATACCATCAAAGAGTAAGAATCCTCCTTTAGAGTAGACTAACCCAGTTCATCAGTTGGGCGAACTACTATATATTATTTTACCTTCTTTACCTATTTTAACACACACCCCTCATCATTACCTAGAGCTCATTCCATTTTTACACCATTAAGATACATTCTTACAAAGTAAATTTTTGGTATTATAGTCAGATTCCACTCAATTGCATTAGGCTAAGATCTGAATCCACACTAAAGTCATTAGATTTTCTTCCAGTGTCTAACTATGCAATTATTATATTTTCTCAAGAAAATTTGATTCTTATTTCTTGGTATGAAGAATCAACTCGAACTTTTCAACGGTTTTTTCATTTAACATAAGAATTAGATTGGCTTCTCATGGGAAGAACATCAATACTAGGCCTGTGGATGAGAGTTCAACATAATTGATGGAGAGTTTAAAAATGGGTCTCTGATACAACGTTTACAATGAATTTACCATAATATCATAACAAAAAGGGCCCATGAACACCAGACTCAATTGAGGTGAGGGAGTGTCTTGGCAGTAAGGGTTCATTCTCACTAGTAGGTATGGTTGTGGGTTCTAACCTCATTCTCTCTCACTCCCTCTCTTCCACACCGCCCAAAAATAAGTAAAATAAAATAAAAACACCACACTCAAGCTTACTACCAGATTGCTTCTACTAGAAAATGTTTCCGTCCTATGGATCGATACTTTGTTGGGTCTACCTTATCCCTCTTATACCCATGTTTGAATATATATTTTGACCCTAGTATTATTACCTAGAATTAATACCGGCCCGTATGAATAATGTATTTAACATCACCTATAGCCTTTTAAATAAATCCACATTTTTTGTGGGTTTAAATAATCCAATTAGGATGTATTTGGGCAAAATATATTTTTACCCTCAAGAATCTCTAGGATATAAATCACTCTTTATCTTAAGGGTTCAATAATAATTTAATGTTTATACTATTATTAAATACTCCATCTAAACGAAGAATTAAATGGGATAAATGTGAGGTCTACTACTTTTTAATACTTGAACTAAACATGAGATGAAGAAATATTATCATTATAATTAGTCCAAGGGACAGATGGATGGGAATGAGATGTGGACAACATTATCCAATCCGGTTCTTCCTAATACTTAAACCAAACACACCCTAATATACCCATGTTTGGATACACATTTTGAGTTCGATATTACCACCTATAAATAATACTAGCCAGATGAATAGTTAATACCACCTACAACCTCTTAAATAAACCCACCTTTTTTGTGGGTTTAAATAATTCGATTATGATGTATTTGAGCAACATTTTTACCCTCAAGAATTTATAGGATATAAATATCACTCTTTATTTTGAGGGTTCATAAGTAATTTAATGCTTATACTATTATTCAATACTCAATCCAAACAAAATATTGGATGGGATAAATGCGAGGCTCACTACTTAATACTTTAACCATACATGTGATGAGGAAACATTATCATTATAACTAGTCCAAAGACTGGATGAATGGGTATGAAATGGACGAGTTTGTTCAATCTAATCCCTCCAAATACTTATGCATAACAACAAAAAATTTATTATATTTTGTTATTTCGTGTTTGTGCCAAGAATTGAGGTGAAACCATGAAGAATTATCTTTATTTACTGAGAATGGGAAAAGAGAGGCAAATCCCTGAAATCAATGGATTCAAATTTGTATCTATTTCAAATCATTGCTTTTAATGGAGTTTACATTAACATTAATTCGATCTTTCCGCACTTCCTTGAGGAGTTGCTTGCTTCTAGTACCGTTGAATAACTAACACTCTTCAAGCGGGTGTCCAATAGCTCAATCCCTTGTTAGAAGCTCATTTGTCTTGCATATATGAAAGAGATTATTTTTTGTAATCGGACCAACAACCCGGATCATCTAGGTTACAAACCAATTTTTGATGAAAACAATAAAAGAATTCCAAGTGGATAGAGGTCAGAAATGATACAGGCACATGCAGTTTGTCATTTCCATGAACCAGGTAGGGTTACAACAAATACATAAGGATAAAATGTACAAACCCAATAAACAGAGTCACTGGAAGCTTAAATAGGGAAAGCCCAAAATGTTACTTTGTGACTTGTAGTGGCAATTGTGCCGTAACAAGTCGGGTTATTGTGGATTCTTATCGAGCACTAATTAATCCCAACTCATTTAATTAATCATATCGTATTGATTGACTTGTTTATTTTTATATCGGATTCATGTTCGTGTTGACCCATATAAACTTAGAATAAATAATTTAACTTTAAGATTTAAATCTAAGATTCTATTATTACTTAATTGAATCCAGCTCATATTTTTTCTATAAATTAAAAATTAACTTAATAAACATGATAATAATAATGCGTAAAAATGTCTTTTTTGTAGAATAATTATTTCAATGCTTAATAAATAATAACAAATAATTAACTTTTTATTTTTATAATACTAGTTAAACGTGTTAATTATGTCAATTTTGTGTTTGACACTAATCAAACTCATTTATTATTCGTGTTAACGGTTGTGTCATTTACGGGTTTGTTTTGAAAAATAATCAACCTTAACCCGTTAATTTCGTGTCGAGTTCGAGCTGTGGCGTGTCAGAAATTGTCCCCCTTATTTGTGACACCATAGGACCAAGAGAACATTGTGAATTCCACAAATAAATGGTTTGCTAAAAACCGTCCTCGTTCTCTTTCCATGAAGAAATGGGCGATGATCACAAAATAGTATGCAGTTGTGGACGGCGTTGTGCCGGTTAAGCTCCAAAACAAGTTGCGGACATAACAATTCTCACAGCTTGAGTATATAAACCTGACCCCTGTGTAAGTCTTTATTGCTAAAACACAACATCAATTTACAACAAAGCTAAAGGGGGTCGCTAATGGCGAAGTCGGCTTTGCTTTCCCTTCTCTATAGTTTGTTGCTTGCAGCTGCTGTCCTAAACTGCCACTGCCATGAAAGGAAGGTATGATGTCTCCAGCGAAATCAATGGTTCCTATCGGCGTCCTTCGTATGGTTTGCTCAGATTTTTACCCGTGCAATATCCATCTAGTATTTGCTATGTTTCCATATTGAAATTATACATTTTTCCTAAGAAATTTGAGTTTAATGTATAGGTACATGTTGTGTACATGGGGGACAGACCTCAAGGGGATGTGCCCATTACATCCATGCACCATGCCATGTTGGAAAATACAATTGGAAGGTTGTCACTGCTACCAGTATTATACGTATACTACTTACACAGTAGAAATCTACTTCCAGTACAGTAACAACAATGCATTATATCCCAAAATTGACTCTTAGTAACATTGCTCTAACGATAAATATAGGGCACAATGTGAGTATAATATAGGGCACAATGTGAGTAGGAGGACAATGTGGGTTGGCCGAAACTTCAGCTTTTCTAGTTAGAAATAATGTTACTTGAAACAAATTTACGGATGATAAAAATGATTTAGGTCCGCAAACTAAATGTAAGGACCATCATCGCTTTCCTACTTCATCAGAATTGGTTCAGTGATGCTTGTTTTGTAACCACTATTAGTTATTACCAGCAAGAACAAGGCAGAGTAGTACTACCATTACTTGGGTCAATAGAGCCGATAATCGAACCGAACTACTCGAGTTTGACTCGGGTTTGACTTAGTTTAGGCTTGTTCAAGTTCAATTTGTTTTTTAAGCAAATCGAACTTGAACATTTTTTAGCTCGTTTATACGTAAATACTCAACTTTTGCTTGAATTCGACTTGTTTTGGGTTCTTTTAAACCCGTTTTAGATCGTTTAAGCCCGTTTTTTAAACGAACCAAATTTGAATAATTTTTTAGACTTACGTAAAAAAACGTCGAGTTAGTCTGGACGATCATTCAGGCTCGTTCGATTATCAGCCCTATGGGTCAGTGCTGCATTTCAATATTAAATGAGATCCACGATAATAGTATATTGAGTCAGGAAATTGGGTATAAGTAGAGAATGTGAAACGTTTAAGTCTGCGGTATTGCAGTTCTCCATCAGCCAAACAGTCACTTATCTACAGTTACCAGAGGAGTTTTAATGGATTTGCCGCCAAGCTTACAGATGAAGAAGCTGCAAAGCTTTCAGGTGAGACTATCATACAGTTAGAAAATTTTTTTTAAGAAATTGGTGTTTGTTACTCTGTTCTTGAACTAAAACAAGCATAATGGAGTTGCAGAAATGGAAGGAGTAATTTCAGTGATGCCAAATCGTATTCTAAAGTTGCATACTACGAAGTCCTGGGACTTCATGGGTTTAAGTAAAGACAATCTTGGAGGTCCTCACGAAGGAGACGTTATCGTTGGACTTCTAGATACTGGTAAAGATATTAATATCATTGTCGTACTGCACATAAAATAACACAGTTTAGTCCTCGTTAACGGGGTCTCGAAGGAATAGATTGGTTCTGTTTCTTTATTTCTGTATTGAAGCATATTTATATATCTATATCTATATCTATTCATAATTTTTGTTTTACAGGTGTTTGGCCTGAAGCTGATAGCTTCAATGACCAAGGTTTTGGCCCTCCGCCAGCTAAATGGAAAGGAATTGCCAAGGCGAAAATTTCACCTGTAACAAGTTAAGTGTTCTTTCCTTCCCCATAGCAGTTTACTACTGTTGAAGTGTCGAGTCCTAGATCAGTTGGTGATAAGAGGGTCTTAGGTCATATAAGTGAGCAGATTACTCCACCTGTTGTGCGCACCTTTTGGGTTGGAAACCCATGTCCAACAAGTGGTATAGAGTAATGACCTAAGCCACCATGTGGACTGACTCCTTGTGTCGGATGAGAGAACAGTAATAGTTATTCATTGTAAGCTTCGTTCGAGAGGAAGATTGTTGAGGGATCAAACGAATTCTACATGGGTTGATGATGAGAAGGTCTTGGGCCATATAAGTGAGTGAATCAGTCCACCTACTAGGTGCATCTTTTGGGTTGAAAACTCATGCCCAACAACTTTTTACAAAATCACCCTCCATCAAAAAACAATATTACACAAAGGAGAGACGACGGCCCACCTAGTACTCGTGACTCTTAGCACTATCGAATTTAGGGAGGGTTTGATATATGCAATCTTTACTCTAAATGTGGAAAGACTATTTTCGCAACTAAAACCCTTTCTGCAACTATTAAATTTACGAAATAATTAAATTAACAAACAAAGAAACATACATACTACAGTAATGAATTTATTATATTTTCTGATATTAGTGCAATATGAGACTAATAATTTTGTTGATTTTTTTTCCTTTTTGACATTACAGCAAGCTCATTGGAGCAAGGTTCTACAACAGCGAGGACTATTATGACATTACCGACATCAAATCCCCAAGAGACTCGGAAGGACACGGTACCCATACAGCCTCGACTGCGGCCGGCCGAGAGGTCGCCGGAGCAAGCTACCTGGGGCTAGCAGAAGGTGTAGCAAGAGGCGGAGTGCCCAATGCAAGGATAGCAATGTACAAAGTCTGCTGGTCTTTTGGATGTGGACTTGCAGATATTCTTGCAGCATTTGATGATGCAATTGCAGATGGTGTTGATATTATATCAGTTTCTCTAGGATCCAACTGGCCAACCCAATACTTTGACGACCCAATTGCCATTGGATCTTTCCATGCCATGAAAAAGGGAATATTAACCTCAAATTCCGCTGGAAACTCGGGTCCTGAACCGGTGACCGTGTCCAATTTTGCACCATGGACACTAACTGTTGCTGCCAGCAGTATTAACAGAAAATTTGTTGCTCAGGTGGTGCTTGGCAATGGACAAGTTTTCACAGTACGTTGAAAACTGCAGTGTCTAATAACTCATGAACAACCTTGTGATAGTCCTAGGATTAATGTTCGTTAGAGATCTGACAAATTTTACACACTCAGGCTTAGGACTGACTCGAGAAAAAGAAGATATTAAACACGACACAGAGAGTTGAACAATGCAGTTTCTGAAAATTCATACAGAACCTTGTGATAATTTCTCAAGATTAATGTTTGACTCGGGCTAATAACCCACTGTGCAGGAAAAAAATAGACCTTAAACACGACAAGGAAAGAGTTAAACCTTGTGATAGTTATCAGTTTCCCCATCTGCTTTTCTTATTCAATAATGTTGCCAAAATGCAGGGACTCTCTATTAATAGCTTTGATCTCAATGGGACCTCTTATCCATTAATCTGGGGAGGAGATGCAGCTAACTATACAGTTGGTGCTAATCCAGATATTTCAAGATATTGCATAACTGGTACTATGAACTCATACAAAGTGGAGGGAACTATTGTTTTCTGTGAAACCCTATGGGATGGTACTGGCATTCTTATGGCAAATGGTGTGGGTACTATAATGGCTGATTCATCCATCACTGATTTTGCCTTCAATTACCCATTACCAGCAACATTGATCAGCACAGAAGACGGTCTCAAAGTTTTCGATTACATAAAAACATCAGAGTGATAATTCTTTTTTACATTTCTTCCCAATAATTTCATAGTTATAGAGGCTTTTTTACAATGTCATACTAACATAATTGAGCTTAACGACATAACATTTCAGCAACCCGATTGCAACTATTCTGGTTAGCGAGACATGGGAGGATGTCCTGGCTCCTATCGTTGTTTCATTTTCTTCAAGAGGACCCAACCCCATTTCACCAGACATTCTCAAGGTAATCAAACATTTGGGTGCGGAATGATTTTTAAATTGAGTGTTTTTTTCTGTACTTGTCAATATGATTTTTGAATGTGTGTGAATATATATGTTCAATGTCTTGCATTACTAATGAGCAGCCTGATATTACTGCCCCTGGTGTGGACATTCTTGCTGCATGGTCTCCTGTGGCTCCACCTTCCATCGACTTTGAGGACACTAGGAGTGTCAAATACAACATAATTTCAGGGACATCTATGTCTTGCCCCCATGCTAGTGGTGCTGCTGCCTTTGTCAAGGCTTCCCACCCCAATTGGTCTCCAGCTGCCATTAAGTCCGCCCTCATGACAACAGGTGAAAACTCAATGCTAATTCTGCTCATATTTGGATTGAGGGTAATGCTATAATACCGAGGAATAAGTTTTTGGTACCTTACCAGAAGTTACTACAGAATAAGAGCTAGATTACAACTCAACCCGGTAAGGTTACGAGAATATGGGGCTATTTGAGGTCCCATCCTAAAATTTTAGGATTGATCCCAACCTTAGTCTTTAACCGACCTTTTGAGTTTTTCCTTGACTTCTAACCCTTATTTAGTTGTAAATTTTGGTGATCCTAATACTCCCTCTATGATCAGCTTATGTTGTGGATTCAAGGAAGCATGAAGACCGAGAATTTGCTTATGGTTCTGGTCACATTAACCCAGTTGCTGCTGTGGACCCTGGTCTCATCTTTGATGCCTCCGAGTCAGATTAAATCAACTTTCTTTGCAAGCTGGGCTACAACACATCCACTCTTAGACTCGTCACCGGAGACAACAGTGTCTGCAACAGCACAGAGCCCGGAAGAGCTTGGGATCTCAACTACCCCTCATTCTCCCTCTATGTTGAAGATGGCCAGCAAATCGCGGGTTTGTTCACTAGGACAGTGACCAATGTTGGGGCACCAAACTCAACTTACACAGCTACCATGTCAATACCATCAACTATAAGTGTGACCGTGGAGCCATCAGTCCTGTCATTCTCTGCTGTTGGAGAGACAAAATCGTTCACAGTGAAGGTCATGGGGCCGAAGATTGCACAGCAGCCAATCATTTCAGGTCCCATTCTGTGGAAAGATGGAGTCCATGTGGTGAGAACACCACTTGTGGTTTACAACTACCTCCCTGGTGCTCCTTATGATCTCGACTCAGCCCAAACCTACTCCATGGCTGAGAAGAAGCCAACTTTCAAAGGAACTTCCATATATCACAAGAATGGAATCATTGGACACAATTGAAACCATATCGATGACTTTCTATTGAGACGTGACATATTTGTGATGTCTTTGTTGAGAATAATAGAATAAATTTCCATGTAATGTAGGCATGGATCCTTGGACATGGCTAAAATGCCGTCCAAGATATGTTGAATACCTAGGTGTTTGGTAATGGAATCAAAGATTTCTAGCAGAGTGAAATGCAAAACCATGTCTTTTCCCTCCGATCTGCGATTTCCCGGTAATCACAAGAAATTTGTTCTCCTGTTTGTCAAACTACTAGTGCAAATTGGATGCCTCAATCACACATTAAAGAGAAAAAATTGCATTGTTATGAGATTCTAAACAGAGGAAAGGCCTACGTGGGAAATGAAGAAGATGCACAAATGGGTGGCTGCTTGATGTGGCCGGTTCTTCCGATTCAAATCTGTAGCATTTGCTTGTGGGGATGCTACTCTAGACGAGAGTTACCTGGGCTCGGTTCAGATAGGACTAGACTCGAACTTGACTCGTGTTTTAAACAAGTTAAGCTTCAACAATTTTTAGAATGTTCGACTCGAGCTCGCAAAGCTCGACTCGTTTATATATAAAAATAGGCGAGCTACTCCGGCTCAAGCCCGGATTCAGCTTGGGCCGAGCTTGGCTCGTTTTTTCAATAAACCAAGCTTGAATAATTTTTTAGGCTCAATTACAAAATGAGCTCAATTGGCTCGGGCTCAGACTCAAACTCAAGCCCGTGAAGCTTGATTAACAACCCTATTTGCTTGTGACAATTCAATTAAGTATGCTCTATTAATCAAAAGATTAATTGGCTAAAATTACTAGGAGCCAATCCATGACTAATTTTTGAACTCTTTTATATATTAGTTTGTATTTCCACTTTACCGGTCGGATGTTAATTGAGTTAAGGTTGTGCAGTACAAGTTTTTTAATAGTGCTTAATTGTTGAGTTTACAATCTTGCTCAAGCTTGACTTCACAGAAGTTTGTGAGCAATCGAGCCAAGCTCTAGCTCTAAAAAAAATAGAAAAATTGAAGTCTATAACTTCTTAATCAATTTAAAACAACCAAGTTATCAACAAAAATACTACAAATTCTCTATAGTTTTTTCAAAAAAATAATTAGAACAGCATATAAATACATATAGTTCAAAGCTATTTGGGGATAAATTTAGGATTTAGATGGGAATTATTTGGAAATAAATAGAAACCCATTCGAGCTGAGTCAAGTCTACTCAAGTCGGGCTACAAATTGCTCAGATTCAGCTCGTTTACCAAACGAGCTTAATGAAAGAAAGTTTCTCAAGCTAAAGAGAAATGAAAAATTCCTAACAAAAGAAAAGAGATGAGTGATTCCAGATGCGACTAGTTAAAGGAAGAAAGGGAATACACGTCCTAATACAGTTTTCTTTATTAACTCAATAAAGTAAAGTCTTCTAATCAAATCAATCCAATCCAAGTTATTTGGATAGTTTAAGATCACCATTTAGCCGTATGTATTCCATGTAAGTTAGCACAAGCAAACTCCTTGGCTCAATCAAGTAGCCATGTAGCTGCAACGGGAATTATTCAGAACTGCCCAAAGCATATTGATTCTTCAATCCGGAGTCTTACAACGCGAACACCATAACTTGAGGGGCATGACTAACTTCTAATTGGAAAGAACATCACGGTCATGATAATGGTTATGGCTTCTAGTGGCCATGTGACCTATTTAGTTTCATCTCCCATACGATTCAGGAAAGCCATGGATATAACATAAAGTAAGCCATGAACTTGCATCGCTTGCAAACTTAAAAAACACGAAAATGACCAGATATATAACTTCAGAATTATTTATTTGCTGTCAAGTTAATATGAATACAACTTTCAAATACACAATAGGAAAGTCATGCATGTCATATGGGAAGAGGAAACACTATGGCAGAGAGATTGCATCAACGCACATGAGACTAAATAAATTTATATTGACTGACAAAATAAAATTTCAAACCTTATTATCAAGCCACAGGGGTCTTCCGATTTGGCTTGAACACGTACTGTATGAGGGACTCCTTAATGGGTAAGAGTTCAGGGAATTCTTGCTTCAGCTTGGTAGCATCAAGTTCATTGTTGCTCCTTGGCGCAACGATCACCTTTGCCTGCTCCTCAAGAGTAAAATTCTTCCATGTGAAGTTTGGGTCAATATATTCCCGATACATTTCCAGAATCTCGTTGTGGCTGACCACTCCAGGATTTGTATAGTTCCATATACCTGTGAGGTTTCTTTTTGCCATCTCGATGGAAATGGGAAGGAGTTCATCCAAGATTGTCATTGAGTTTGGTATGTTAACTACTTTTTTGTATTGACTGATCTTTGTGATGAAGTTGCGCGGGTTGGATAAATCTGATGAGATGGGCATTCTGACCCGCAATGTGCAGACGTTTTCATAATTGTTTAGCAAATCCTCCACCTTCACAACATCAGTAAAAATGAACAACCATCAGAACTAACCGCTATAGTAACTTCAAACTCTGATGTGCCACTGCACACTCTTTAATGTAAAGGCCCGGACAATTATAAAGAGAAGCCACATTCACATATTAAAACTTTATAGATTACATCTTTCAAGAAACGATGCACCTTCTTTGACCCATGGCACAGATGTCAATTACAATGTCAAAAAATGATTCATGATGATCATTCTTAATAGTACCAGCTACAAAGAGTTTGCACTGTGCTGTGTTATGAATATTCAGCTACTTGTGAATCTTCTCCAAAAGACAACTATTCTTTGAGATGCAAAAGCCTGAACAATGGTCAAATCCTAAGAAAGCGAATAAATTCTCATAGAAACTCACACTATATTTTCCTTTATTGGGAGACATATGGTCCCAATCATGTTCTTCACAAGACCTCTAGGTTCTTGCCAAATACAAGACGCATAATCACCCATCAATAATTACAGATTAACAGTCATAATGGCATATCCCTCCCTCCATCTCTTTCTCTCCTTTGTGTACATAGTTATTTTGAATTTCTAATGATGATGACAACCCATCAACCACCCGGGCTAGATAGGAGGAGACCTCTCTGATGATAAAAAGGTTTTTCAAAAGAAGTAATATATATTTATCATGCACACAAGAAGGGGTTAATTTTATCAGCACTCTTCTGTCATTCCACGAAAACAAATTTTCACAATATAAAGAAAAAGCAAACATCTGATTCAAGGCAAGTCAAATTGCTTTGAAAAAACACAAGCTAAGCCAACTAAGCTTGACTTTAGGCAAGTTAAGATCATAGATTTTTCCTTCCAAACATGTACTTTTACCAAACATTCTTCTGATGTAATTAATGACAGATTCCACCACCTTAATTTAGTCCTCATACACAAACAAGTTGTATTTTGCGAAGGATCTCCCCAGACCCCACAAAGATGGGATTCTCATGCACCAGATATACAAACAAGTTGGATTCATACTTACCATTTAGTACACACCCTTAAACAAGATTGGCAATGAGAATCCCAGATCCAACACATTATAACTACACACAACACACATACACATCAATAGAGATCCGCTAAATTCGATCACTTGAACTAAAATTACTAAATATAGAAATAACCAGAACATAAATTCATATAGCTAGATCTTAGAATTCAATGGCGTGAATTAACGAATTGAATGAATTTGATAGAAAAGAAAGTGATTCACTCACCATGGCTTTGGTCTTGGAATAGAAAGATCCGATGAAATTGGGTTTATCCTCTTCCTTGAACCCAATACCGGTTCCTATCGAATGCTCAGAATCGTACTCAAAAATACAACCGGTAGCATAGTTAATCAAAACCAGACCCTTCTCTCTGCACACATCAGCCAGCGTCAGCGTCCCGACCACATTGGTCCGGATGGTCTCGACCTTATGCGATTCACACCAGTCCACATTTGGCCGGCCGGTCACGCCTGCGGCGTTGAAGACGTGGGTCGGATTCACAGCAGCAAGGTCAGCTTCTAAGGAGCTCCGGTACTCGAGACGGCCCGAGCCGTAAACAAAGTCGATGCCTTGGGCTTCGCAGAGCTTGCCCAGTAAGCCACCGATCCAGCCGGTCCGGCCATAGATCAAGAACTTAAGTGGCCGGTCGGTTGATGAGCCGTTGACTGGGAAGCCCATTTGAGAGAGAGAGAAGGAGGGGGGGTGGGATATACTTACAGGTACTGAATATCTGGGTATTGTGGAAGAGAGAGAAATGCTGGGAGGATTGGAATTTGGAAGTTGGAAGTCGGCGAGTGTCTGTGTGTGTGTTCCTGGTCTTTTGGCAAGATATTAGGCGGTGGCTTTGGACAGTGATAAGAAGTGACCGCCCTCAGATTCTTATAGTAAGGGAGATTCGTTATATATTCCAAGATTTGTTCAAATATTTTTACTAAATTTTATCCCAAGCTAATATAAATTATAGGATAATTTTTTTTTATATTTGTGTCTTAAAAAAAGAAATTTATTAAGAATACCAAACTACAATATTTAAATCGGTAGAAATTAACTGTAAATTTAATGATCATCATCAGCCATTAAATAATATTAATTACCACCAACTTGGACTTGCAAATTTAAGCAATCAAACATTGCATATGCTCACCAGGCCTCCCCAAGAAGCCGTGGACTCTAGACACCATGATAATAATGCTGGCCAATGTAGTGGGATTTTAGATCCAAATTCCAAAGCCACCAAGTCAGGGAGGGATGGGCTTTCTTCCTATTAACTACTTGGATCTGAAGTTTACTAATGTCATACTTGATTTATCAGACTATTGATACTTGTTAGTGGTAGTGACGTACAAAGAAAAACCATCAGATTAAAGCTAACCTGCCCACGAGGACCTCCTCAGCTTTTGGTTTGGTTGCCCAAGTATAATGAGGCTGATATGCACCCATAGCGATTTCACTATCTCTGGTGCCTTCTAGGGACTGCTGGTTAATGTTTGAACCATCATCTACTATCATTCCTTTCGAATGGACCTAAAATCATAAAGCACGGGT